TTCAGGTATATCTGGGGACCGCGACAAGGTGAAAGCTTGATCATACAACTCTTCCTGTTTTGTTTATGGTTCTGAGAAACTCTGATATTACACTATTTTGAAAACAAGAATGTAATGCATGTTGCTGCTGTTGAATGTTTGAAAATTATTTAATTGGCTTGAAATTTTTGAATATTACATAAAAGTGCTTGATAACACTAATTTTTCAGTGTAAAAAATAACTTTTTCAAAAAACCATTGATTTTTGGTTTTTCCAAAAAATCAATAAATAGATTGAAAAACAATTTCAAACACCCTCTAAAAGTAAAGCTTATAGCAACTCACACCAACCCAACCATTTAATAAAATAAGTTAAAGTTCTTTCTTATCAAGATAAGCAACCAACCACTTCAACGTTTATCAATGCAAACCAACTCAATCTTTTATTAAAAACTATATAATGATAATAATATAGCTATATTATGATAATAATATATCAATATTAGTGATTATTTATATAGAAAAAATAATGAGTTGTATTATATTTTGTTTTTCTAACTTTTTTTAAATAACATATAATAAATAGAGTTCATCGTGTTTGGTCAAAAATTAATAAAAACCACCAATAGAATAAAGCCAAGGCGTGAACATTCATTCATCTCTGTTAAGCCACATTTTTTTTTATAATAATTTTCGGTGACCGACAAAACAAAAAGTCACATATCATTCTGATTTCTTTGTATATTTATTTTATACTTTATATAATACTAGTGGTGCACCCGCGCAAAGCGGCGGAGGAGAATAATTTAATTTTATGTTTAGAAACAATTTCACTCACATATTTATGATGGAATAACATGATAGTACTAAAATATTAAAGATAAACATGTTAGGTTTAATATTAATCATGTATGGTATGTCTAACAAAATATTTGTATAAATAACCTAAAAGATAGAAAAATTGATTGTTTATGTAGCTATATTAATGATTGCGTATGTGTATGTGAGCAACAAACTTATTTGTGAGGCTTGCCATAATCATAGAATTATGCAACATTCACGACTATGCATACAAACTCTAAATGTTTTAAGTAATAATCTACATCATTTCAATCAAGACAAGAGAGAAAAAAAAAAAAAACTCATTTGTCCAATTCCAAATTACAAAATGAAAAAACAAGAATTTATTATAGTATATTGATTGTTGCTTTATATTTGGTTTGCAAATATTTCCAAAGCGTATGATGTAAGGAGGCGAAGTACATAAATCTTAATCAATACAAAACCAACAAAAAAGTTGATTTATTATGACAAAAATAACTCTTTGTTCAATTATTACGTGATTGCATAAGAAATCCTTAAGAGAGGAAGGCAACAAAAATTAGTGGAATAACATTAGGGATAGAATTAACAGGGGAAGCAAATTTATTTAAGATTGGGAAATTGTTCTGTTATAACATCAAATAAAAAACTTAATTAAATTTCTTAATATGCATTTTGGATTAGTTTTATTACAACATTCTACATTAATTTCTTCCTGTTACTCCTTTTACAACACGTTTTACTTTTAAAAATAATGCATCACATTTTACAAATGTCATTGAAGTTCATAGCAAAAAAAATCACTGTTATAATTGGGTAGATTTTTTTAAATTATAATGTATTCACAAGAAAAAAACGAAAGTACAATGTTGTTATTGGTAGATTTCAAAAGAACAATGCCTTAATGAAACATTTAAAGTGCAATTAGATCATCATGCAACAACAGTTTCAGTAAATTCAATTATAGTTTTAAGTAAATAAGGCATGATTCCACCCCAAGGTGTGAATGGGAATGGTGAACTCACACGATTAGGACAACACACATCTATTGTCCTACCAACTGTACAAATAATCATAAGCTAATAACAATTACAATCTTGTTAAATATAAGTTTCATTTAAACCTACATCAAATAACCAGTCACTTGGCAGATAGTGTTGCAGTATGATTCTTGCTTCCACTCTGTGGAAGACTTATTTATTTGACTTTCTTATTAGATATTCCTAGTTAATTATGCTTCTCGGATCCAAATCCATATCCTTGGTGTCTATGTTTACTTAAACTAAGGTTCCCTCAATATTTCAAATCCCACATTCTAAATTCAGTTATATAAGAAATGATTCAAAATAAATAAGCTTTCACGGAAAAAAAAAAATGAGAATCACAACTAATTAGATTCAGTGTGACTTTACCTTTCAACAAGGCTAGTGAATTGCACATCCTACATGCTTTTTTCTCAACCTACCTATATGTAAAACATCAAATGTTTCTCTGTTGAACCTAAAGCATTTCCTAAAAAAGAAAATGATTAATTAACAAACATCTCATAATATGAAATCAATGAATTAAGATTCGCAATACAAGAAGTGGAGCTCCAAAACCTTATCCACCAATCTGCTTAATAAACTTATAATATTCCATCTTGGCCTTACCAATACCATTTTCTACTTCTATTGAGACATTTTCTTCGGATCCTAAACTTTGTACCAAAAAAGACTGAATTTTCAGAACAAAAATGTTAAGTAAGTAAGCAAATTATCTAAAAATAAACAAAAATAAGTGGTTTTTACTTCAGATTACCTACAAAAGACAATGAGAAAAAAGTCAAAATGGTTGTTATAAAGGATTAAGAGATAAGAGCAAAAAAAAAAAACAATTACATAATGTGATGCATATATATTACCCCAAAAATTGGGCCAATTTCACCCCTGTAGCTGTAAGATTACCAACTTCCTAGTTTTCACCCAGCATTTGGAGGGAAATGCCTTGAAAGAGAACCACAAAGAAGAGGAGCGAACAAATGATGGAGATGAAGCTCTGTAATCTAGCTATAAACCATCACACTTTTAGTTTCTAATCTACCATGGTCTCGATTAAACTTGTGGTTAAATTAGTAGTTGGCCTAATGATGGTAAGAACCATTGTACCATGTATCTTTATAATTGGATGACATGGTTATCAAATTTATGTTAGTATTGCCTTGAATCCAGAGAATTTCATCCCAATATCCTGAAACCCAAATAGTATTAAAGATTATGTCAATTCTTATAGACATTAATTTCAAATTAACTTAATGAGTTTAAAATTAAATTTTGATGACATCCAAATTGTTTGACCTAGATACAGGCAACAACCACCTTCTTCTATGAATTAAATTCCAAAAGTAGACATATATTGCATACATAGCGACCAAATTAAAGCCCAATTTAACTTATCATATTCAAAGTCAAAACCACTTTTTGCCTGGGCAATTTAAGTCTAAGCAGTTGTACTTTTCCCTATTCCCATACCACAATTCATCATATCATGCCTAATGACCACAGAAGAAAAATAGGAAGTACCTTCAAAAATCAAATTTTTTTCATAACCATTTCTTATAATCATTTCTTTTGCTTTCCCATCTCGTTAGAAAAACGGGACATCAACTTATTTTAATGGTGTAATCTCAACTTTAATCCCTTGTTTTCTCATCATCACCAATGTTGAAGGCACTTCCTCTAAGCCTATTGCATAAACATGAAACTTAGTCAACATGAAAACTTAATGATAAAAAGTAAATAAGAATGTGTAGCGATAGAAATTGTATTACCTTAAGCTGCCATTGTAGGTATTCTAGCAACCGGACCATGTCCTTGAACACAAACCATAGCATATAGATTTTGAACCCTCCCTGAGAGTTCAGTTCCAAATCCTTTCAATTGTAAGGTATTTTTTTATTTATTAATTTTAACCAAAGACAATAAGAAATCATGTCTATAAATAGTAAAAATTGGTATGTGAGGTTAGATCTTCATAGCCATACAAGATTCTGAATGTAATCAAAGTAAAACAGTGAGGTTATTAACCTTTTATGACCCAAAACACCTAGTTGATGTGAAACCATAAAATTCTAGGTCAAAAAATATACCTGAGGTTGCATCTTTGAAGTCACATCAGATTCTTGAACAAATCCAAGGTATAGTGAGGTTTTTGACCTTTTATGACCCAGGACCATAGAAATCTAGGTGAAAAAATGATACTCGATGTTAGATATTCGAAGTAGCACCATCATCGATTCGATTGCAAAAAAGTAAATTAAGAAATGTGTTACGTGATATCTGAAATCAGAGCTTCTTTTTGTTTCAAGTACAAATAAGAAAGGAGGAGGATGATGGCATTTAACGGTGGTCATTTGATTTTAGCTTCCATTTTTTTCCAGCATTTATGAGTTTATAGAGAACAGATGAATATATGATAAGAGGAAACGGGATTGAGAGATCTTAGGGTGTAGGAAACGGTGAGTTACAATGAAGGACATTGTGGATTTGGTGAAGGTCATGATGACACCGACAATTTAGTATGGTCGGGCTGTGATGGTTGTGAAGGGTGGCGACGGTTTGGAGCATTTTAGCGAGAAACAAAGGGCAGCGACATTTAGCTGTGATGGTGATGGCTACTCACCGATCGGGACGTGGTGGGTGTCTGCGTCGGATATGAGAGGAGCTCTTAGGTTGACGGTATGCTTCAAGGATTTTGGGGAGGCTTTGCCTTCTTCTCATGGAGAAAATCAGGTAAAATAATTCACAGAGAACCTCTGATTTCTTGAATCATATGCTGACGGATAATTGGCCTGATAGGTAGGAGATAAGAAGGATTTGAATATGTTGAAGGCGACGGAATGTCGGTTTAATGTGGACTGATTCAGGTTATTATTATTATATTAATAGTTTGTTGTACTGTTAGCTTAATGGTTTGTACGTCTTAAAAAAATATTATTATTATATTCAATTTATTTATAGAAATAGTGAGATTTCTTTTATAAGATAGTAAAGATATATACATCTTTTTTGAGATAGGAAGTTTGTTACGAAATACACGTCAACACCCTTTCTAATATAGAATTGCTGATCGTTTTAGATTATATTTGTAAGATTATTTATAACATTATGAAACATGGTTACGTTACATGCTCAATACATGAAAATATAACATTTTGGACATAACATGAACTTGGATCATAATCTTTCATTCATGACAATTAACAATTAACAAATCAAAATATAACAGATTCAAGGAGAAGGTAGCACTCATTCACATCACAAACGTTCAAATGTGTTCAAACTTCAAATTCAGATCTTCCAAATCTTATCTTTGTTACAAACCATCATATGGTAGCAAGAAAGCTAATATATATATATCCACACTTATTACTTATAACGATACTGACTTCTTTACAGTTAGCAATCACACACAGACATAGGGACAATTTCTACAAACTGTACTCAACTAGAATGTGCGTCTTCATCAAATATGAAGATCAGAAGGAGAATGGTTTTGCATACACATCGAAAGGCTCACATGAAGTCAATTGTGGTTCCTGAGTGAACCCACGATTACTTGAAAGCATATCATGCACAGAATTCGCAGAACCAAACCCTCTTGATGCATTACGGATGGTGTACGCATTGAGCTTAACAAGCTTCCATAAGTAGACGCGTTTCCATGTTCTATAGCTTCTATAAAACAGAACGTCATTGCCCCTGTTGATGTGATTTTTGATAACGCCTGCATATCAAGACTTGTTATGAATATCATCAAATTCAATCAAAATCTGAGAATTTGGTTAGACTTACCGATGTATCAGCAGATTGTTTGATCATCGTCACATCCGCTGATCGAAATGACTTCGCCACCATTACTACCCTTATATATGCCTGGTGCTGTAGGACGATGATCCTCCCATTCGTAATGCCCAGTACTATGACACCAAGAAAGAACACAAATTGTTAGATACAGAGCTTGATTTGGATCGTAACATTAAGATGAATTCAGTAACCTCACCTCTTCATTCTGCAGAGGAATGGAAGATCTAGAACAGTCCCACTATGGCAAGAATCGATGATTGCATGAAGTTTGGCTCCCAGAGGAAGAGGTCTGACGATTGTTGCGTTGATTTCGTCGTCAATGATCATACCTTCTGTTTCAAAATCCAAGGGGCACAAGGTTTCGTCATAACCATCAAGCTCGTCGCCGTTGAGGTTCCTCTGCCGGGAACCGTGGCCGGAAAAGTGAAAGACGAGAGAGTCTCCTGGTTGACATCCTTCGATTAGCCAAGAGAGTGAAGTCCTCATGTTACGTGCTGTTGGGATCCTGCTAGACTCTGTTTCTTCTTCTGCAATTTTATAGCAGGTGTATATGATGAAAAAATTGGCCTACTGCCATCCCAAGCATAAATTAGGGTTCATACCAGTGAGCATACGAATAGAAGATTCGGGAAACTGAAATGTCTTAATCAGAAGGTATTTCATGTATTTAGCATCATTAAGGCATCCTTTAAGCTCGTGACTAGTGTTCTTATACGATACGCCGACGATCAGCGCCTTCTTCCTGCCATAAACGGACGGCGGGGAATAGCTCAAACGCGACGGTGAAGGCATATGTGGCACTAGACCAGGAAACGCTGTAACAGCCGAAGGAGATGACGGAGCATTGTTGTAAGGCGAAGGAACATGCGCCGCTAGACCCGGAAACGGAGAAACGGCGTAAGGATACGGCGGAGCATTAGTGTAAGGCGATGGTGAAGGCGCATACCCCGTCACATCAGCAAACGGAGAAGGGCGAAGAGAGGGTACAACGGTGTCAGCGATTTTAGTAACGGTTTGGCATACAGAACATCTTATCGATCTGGCTCCATCCGGTAGTTTCAACGTTGTACGGCAGTTGGGGCAGTCCACGAGCATAGACATTGCTTGAGTTCTAGGGATTCGACCATAAAGAAAATTGGGGAGATTTTGATTCTGCATCAGTGTGCTTCGAATTCGATTATATAATATGCGTCGCTTTCAGAAACCGCGTTGAGCAAATTTTCCGATCAGTCACGCTGGTCGCCGTGGCGTTATGTGCGATCAAGTTATAATTCGACTTTAAGCTTTTAGTCAACCCCTTGTAGCTCCCTAAAATTTATATAGTCGATTTGTTCAAGAAAATCAATATATATATATATACTAGCAGTGTACCCGCGCAAAGCGTCGGGGCGTGTAAATTCTTTCGGTGATATGTTTCTTCTACAAAAATGTTATTTTACAAAAGAAAGTACATGTCGAAGACAAAATAATCAAACTATGGTGTTATTTGGGAGATGAAGTCATTTTTTGTTCCTGGACGGTGGGCTTTATAGCAGAGGAGGGAACAAAGAGGTATATGCGATTGGAGGGATATTTGAATCAACATGCTAAATTTAAGGATATCTAAAAGGGTTCAAAATTTGAATGAATCCGGGATTTGAGGGAACCATATCAAATTGTTGAGAAATATAAGGAGATTTGATGATAAATATTTGAATTCAAAATGTGGTTAAAATTTAATATTATTTTATTAATGGTTACTTGTACTATCTGCTTCATCATTTGAACGTCTTAAAAAAATAATATTATTATAATCAATCTATTTTTAGAAATAGTTAGATTTCTTTTATAAGATAGTATATATATATATATATATATATATATATATATATATATATATATATATATATATATATATAACGGGTTGAAAAAATAAAATAATTGTTATAAATCATATATTACAGTATTTTTTTTATACAACATTACATAATATAACATCTCTTACTGTGAGTTCTCTTTCTTCGCGAATAAATTTCTTTTGGTGATAATTGTGTTTCGATGGTGAATAATTTTAATTCGGTGTTTAGTTTCCTTTAGACGGGCAAGTATAGTTTACGTTTTGCCGAATAGTTTTGTTTAGAGAATTAGTTTCCATGCAATATATATTGTCAAATATCATTACTTTTAAAGAGCATGCGATATATATTGTTTTATATGATTACTTTAAAATATATCTATAATGTATGCAAATAAATGTATTTGATTTTCGAAAATAGTCTTTTGAGGATTTAAGAACTTTATCAACATATGCTTCAAAGTAGGGGTGAAAACGAGTTGAGCCGAACCCGACCCTGGTTAGGTTCGGCTCGGGCTCGTTTAATTTATATGGAGCTCGAGCTCGGCTCGATTCAAGCTTTCTTGTATTGAGCTAGGTTTGAGCTCGTAAAATATTATACAAGCTCAGCTTGGGTTCGGACTCGACTTGTTTTTTATTTGATGTGCCTGAATAAGCTTAAACTCAGCTCGAGCTCGTTAAGAAGCTCGTTTACCAATACCCTAAATTCATAGTTCCCCCAATATGTTTTTATTTTAATATATAAATAATGTTGTAAATAACAAACTAATAGACGCGCAAGGAAACCGACAAATAATATTGAGAATTATATGCCGATTAGTTGCGAATAATAGATCCAATTATTATTATTATATTACTGAGTTTCGTCCAGAAACCAGATCTATCCTTCTCGATTAGATCCGATTATAAGAAAGGTAGAAGAAGATTGTCCTGTTATTGGACGAATTAAACACAAGACAGAAAAATAAAACCGACCTGTTGATTGCTGACTTGATCTTGAAGCAACTGCACGGATCAGATTCCTGTCCTTAAAGGTTTTTACTTCGCTTGTATTGGCTGTAAGCAACAGAGTAAAACCCCAGGATTTAATGCAACTATATCGATATTCCAACAGCACTGGAAATCGACAAACACAAAGTGACTACTCGGAAACTAGAAGAAAAAACGCAGAGAGAGGGAGAGCTTTCAGATTTTCGTGAGTGTCTATATGGCTCCTAGGGAGCTTTATTTATAGGTATTGTAACCCTAGAAGGCATCAAACGGGCCCCCATAGGCCAGCCCCAGAAACCCTAGGGCGACAGCTTGCTCTCCAAGCAATCTGTTTCCTGATCCTTCTAAAATACCCTGACTTGACCTCCACGAAGTCAACAGCGGTCAACCATTTGACCGGATCGGTCAAACCGGCTTGACCCGAACTCGTAAAAAATAAAAGCTCCTCAGCTCCCAGCAACCGATGCGTCGTGCGCCTAAATCGCGCCATTTCGCGCACTCGCGGCGTCGGCTAGTGCTAGGCTAAGCTAGGCGCGCGCGTGGGCTTGGCCCATTCCCTTGATCCACTAAAGCCTTTGAAGGCTTAACAAGGGAATAGGCTTATAAACCCACAAAAGTTTCTTCCCCCCACCAATGTGGGATACAAAGGAAATTGCCAACTTGCAATTCCTTTATATATAAAGTTCCAACAATCCCCCACCAAGTTGGTAAGTTTCCTTTCACTCAGACAGATGATGTCACTTGGGTGTCACGAAGATTAAACCCTAGTTTAATGAGAACAAACAAGAAGAGACTGATTCAATGGTATCCTTATAGGTTTAAACCATGAACCTCAATGACCTCTCCGGTTTACCCACACACACCACAAGTCATATTTGTGTTCTCCCTGAGCGCTATTATGGCCATGCGCTATAAATCCTTTTCATGACCCTTTAGAAGATAAACCACTAATCTTCACTTGAGGCGGCACCACCTCTAGATCATATAGGCATAGTTTTACAACATCTTCGTTGCTTAGATGTCTCCAAAACTACGTTAAGAGTCGTAACTCAACCTCATTCTCGACAACGACGCACTATCCTACCTCACATGGATCTATCATGAATGATTATCCTACCTCACATGGATCTATCATGAATGATAGTACCTTCTATCGTTAGTGATTTCGTTGTTACCCTTTAAACTTGAAAATTAGGAGCACTAATGTCAAGTTGGGTTTCCATCACTAAACGATTCTATTGTGGTTTTAGACCCATGACTCTCGTGGTAGATGTAACCAAATCTCTCGTCAGAGGTTTGGTAAACGGATCTGCCAAGTTCCTACTTGTCTTGACATAGACAACCTTGATGGTACCACTTTCAATTAGTTGTCTCACAAAATTGTGACGCAGACCTACATGTCTTGACTTCCCATTATATATCGCATTATATACTTTAGACAGTGTGGCCTCACTGTCACAGTACATGGGTATTGAAGGCATCGGAATATCCCACAAACGTATATCCATAAGTAGATCTCGAATCCACTCTGCCTCTTTGCCTGCTACTGCTAAGGCAATTAGCTCAGCTTCCATCGTTGAATGAGCTATGCATGTCTGTTTCTTGCTCGCCCAAGAAATAGCACCACCAGCTTGAGTATAAATCCAACCACTTGTGGACTTTGAATCACTGGTGTGATCAATCCAGCTGGCATCAGAATAACCTTCAAGTATTCCATTAGATGACGAATATGTCAATTCAAAAGTACTTGTCCTTTTCAGATATCCTAGTATTCTACCCACTGCTTTCCAATGCTCCGTCCCTGGATTAACTGTATACTGACTCAACTTGCTTACAGCGAATGCGATGTCAGGTCGCGTGCAGTGAGTAGCATACATCATGCTCCCAACTGCACTAGCATATTCTAGTTGGGCCACAGCTCGACCAGAATTCACCTTAAGTTTCACACTTGAATCAAAAGGAGTGTTAAATTCCTTAATGTTCAAATGTTGAAACTTTGTCAGAATTTTCTCTATGTAATGAGATTGACTCAGAGAAATCTGACCACCTGTCCTCTTCACCTTGATACCAAGAATAGTATCTACTTCTCCAAGATCCTTCATCTTAAAGTTCAAGAATAGGTATTTCTTCGTCTCAAGAATACCTTCTAGGTGAGTACCAATGATCAACATATCATCAACATAAAGACATATAACTACTATGTAATCAGATGTATGTTTAGAGTAAATACATCTATCAGCACTATTGTGCTGAAAACCAAAGGCAGTCACAGTGGTGTCAAATCTCTCATGCCACTGTTTAGGAGCTTATTTCAACCCGTACAAGGACTTAACAAGTCTACATACTTTGTTTTCTTGTCCAGGTATTACAAAACCTTCAGGTTGCTCCAGGTAAATCTCCTCTTTGAGATAACCATTCAGAAAGGCTGTCTTCACATCCATTTGATGAATATACAATCCCTTCAAAGCTGATATTGCTATGAGAGTTCTAATTGAACTAATTCTAGCAACTGGGGCATAGGTATCAAAATAATCGATCCCTTCTCGGTGCCTATAGCCCTTTGCAACCAACCTTGCTTTATAAGCATATATGGATCCATCAGGATGATATTTCTTCTTGAATATCCATTTGGATCCTATGGGTCTTCCCCCTTGGGTAGATCAGCTAACTCCCAAGTTCCATTACCCATAATTGAATCCATTTCGTCATTGATTGCTTCCTTCCACAGAGGAGCATCCCGAGACGTCATGGCTTCCGTAAAGGTCTTAGGATCATCATCCAAATTAATTGAAAAGATGACCTCTCTCGTCACTTTCTTTTGTGTTCCTTCGACCAAATAAGAAAAGAAATCATCTCCAAAGGTTTTCTCAATTCTAGCTCTAGTACTTCTCCTTGGTTCCTCCACACTGGGAGGAGGTGGGAGTATTTCTCAAGAGGTACTTGTAAGTGTTGTATGACTAGAGTTTTCTTCATCCTTAGAAAACTTGTCCTCAAAGAATTCCACATCTCTAGATTCCACAACAACACCAAAATCAATATCTAGTAATCGGTAAGCCTTGCTATTTTGAGCATATCCAATAAATATACTCTTATTAGCTCGTGCTCCCAATTTGGTTCGCTTAGGATCGGGAGTCCGATAATAAGCAACACACCCCCACACTTTCAAATAGTCTAGGTTAGGCTTTCTACCTTTCCACAACTCATAAGGGCTTGTAGGAATCACACGACTAGTGATCCTGTTATGAACATAACAAGCAGTCAATAGTGCTTCCCCCCACAGATTGTTTGGTTGACCCGATTGGTTCAACATACAGTTGACCATCTCACAAAGAGTTCGGTTCTTCCTTTCAGCCAAACCATTCTGTTGAGGGGTGTATGGTGATGTTCTATCATGTTTGATTCCATTCTCTTCGCAGAATGTGTCAAACTCTTGGTTGATATATTCTCCGCCTCTATCCGAGTGAAGAATTTTGATGTGTCTTTCAAGTTGATT